GGGTTTGCGCGAGACATAGTTCCTTTTGTCATGAATACGTTCAGTTATCGTTCCGATGATTGGATTTTAACCGTGAAATTGATATTACAATTATTATTGATCAACGAAACATGAGTGTGTTACATTTTTACGTCATTTTTAATTTACTTTTCTGGACACTTAATTTCACATTTAGCCTTTAACATCGAAAGGGAAGAAAGAGGATGAAGAAGCTGCAGTTTCAAAAAACAGTTGTTGTGTTGAGAACGCCCGCGTGGAATAAATGTGATAATTTCAATCACGGTTTCTGGTTGATTTTGGCGCCGACCAGAAGTGTACACTGGTAAAAAACCTCTTGGTTCAAGAGTGCAGTTTCTTGTCGCCGGATTTAAGAGTCTGAACTCTTGTTTCAATGCAAAATCCGCTTGAATCAATGCAAAATCCGCTTGAAACAAGAGTTCAAGACTCTTAAATCCGGCGACAAGAAACTGCACTCTTAAGTCATTGCACCGCGGCATTGGTCCAAGAGGTTTTTTTTACCAGTGTAGTCCCAACAGACAGAGACCACTTCAATCAGACCACCAGACCATTCAACTTACGCATTTCTGGCCATAACCCAACCATACCTTTGGCTGGTGCGACAAAATTTCTGATCGCCGTCAAAATCAATCAAGACTATAATTGAAATAATCTTACTTTCTTCCCGCAAAACAAGTATTAATCCTTAGACGACAATGTGTTCTGCATTGGCGGAACCAGCGAATTGGCAACATTGTTTTTCTTCATTTAAACCTATGGAAATGTGTCGATTCTCAGAGGGGCCAGGTGCTCCGACAAGAATCGATTATTTAGCATGGGTATAAATGGAGGGAATCCTCTGTTGCCCAATTGCTGGATCCGCCTCTGGAGGCCGATTATTGAAATTGATACACAAAGCTATTGACAAAGAAGACAAAAGGGAAATGGAGGGACCCTATTGGTGGAAGCAGGTGGTTGCAATGGACAAAGGAGATAGGTAATAGACCAACTAAAGGGAACTCACGAGAGACCCTGTAGTTCGTCCATCATTTTCTCCCTTAGTCTGAAGGAACCACTCATTTCACCCAATAGGATCGCTCTATACTCCCTATGTCTTCTTTGACCATAGCTTTGTCTTTCAATTTCAACGGCCCGCTGGTGCTGCTAAAACTTCATCTCCTTGGACTACGATCCATTTTCCCATGTATGCTCTTTACGAAAAAAATGTTCTTGAGAAAATGTTTTGAGAATGTTCTTTAAATTATTTTTAGCGTCATAGAGACGGGAAAGATCCACCCTTGGAGGAACGTCTTTTTTATCCGCGCACTCATACTTGGATTGCATTTTGCAAAAAGGAACCAGAAGAATTGCGATGATGCTAAGATTGTGCATTTTCATCCTTTGCAATAAAATTACTGAAACCATGAAAAAATGTGAAATTTACATTGTAACTTTGTCTTAAATTTACTGTTCTTAGCGAGTAAAATAAAAACTGTTGATGGATAATCAGGGTTTTCTTCCAAGACAAGAAGTTCCACTATCTTAGCAACATTGCAATGCTCCTGGTTCATTTTTGCGAAATGCAATCCACTTTCTTTGGTCTTTTAAGGGATTTACTACGTGTTTAATTGACGCGACAAACAACGGTCAACGATCGGGAGAGGATGTCCAATAATTGTGAGTGCCAACCTGCACGTCCATCGAGTCGCTAGGCGCAGAGGTTGCCGTTGGCAAGTGTAATGGAGCAAGGTTGGACCCGATTGGACCACTGGACCACCATGGTCATCGTCTTCCAGATCTTTCTATGCCGGGTTTGCCGTGTGCAATGATGCACCCCACATCGATGATATCAAGGAAAACAATAAACATCTCCACCCATTCGAATTCTCCAAAACTATCGCGTACATACTGTCATCTATGCTATCGTTCTAAGGAAGAACGCCGTATGAGCCTTCAAACGTTGCCAAGTTTCATTTAAAAACCCCCGAATTCGCTGAGAAAATTGTGAATATTAATTTCCAAAATCTTCAGACTATTTTTTACGCAATTTAATCCAAAATATCTGAAAATTTAAAGGACAAATGTGCATAAATATCGTCAAAAATACATGTTTTATCGAGGGTTTGGCAACTCTCAAATGTTCATACGACGTTATTCCTCGCGCCTCACACCAATGATATCAAGGAAAACAAAAAACGTCTCCACCCATTCGAATTCTCCAAAAAATTAGCTCAAAAACCTACTCCCTAAGTAGCACAGTGCAATAAAATTAATGTAATAAAATTGCAATTTTTTTACCATGAAATTACGATAATTTTACATCATTTGGTCGATGAAGGCCGATTTTAAACGATCAATTTTACATCTACCAGAAAGACAGACAACTTGCAATGCAAAAAACAAATTCCACAATGAGGTGTCCCTTCGATCAGTAGATAGGCAACTTACATAACACTCCGATGAAGTAGCAATAAGTTTACCATGTAATTGCAATTTATTGCACTGTGCTGCTTGAGTGTCATCTATTTTGGAAAAACAGCTCCATCCTTCTTAATTTCACTCGGAACTAACAATCCTTGGAATATATAATAATTCCTGTGACTCTATGCTCGATAGCCTAAGGATTCTCGTAACCTACTTTTTTGACGGCGTGCAGCGATAGATTTATTTTTATTGGTATTCATCATGAATTGCTTTGATCTCCATTCTATTTAATTACCTTACTACAGTGACCTTAACCTTAGCACCTACAAATCTAGATCACATACGTAACGAGTTTCACATGAGTTGGTGTCTTGAATTACCTCACTCAGATCTTTCAAACAAAACATGAAATCCTCAACTGATTTGCTGTAAAAGACAGATCCAGAGTATTTGCCGATTATTCGCGATTTTTCCCACTCTGGAAAGCAGTTGTGTTTACATAACCCCTCAACATAGCCTCGGAAATTTTGAAAGTAATATTGTAGTAACATTGAAACGTCGTCCTCGCGGTAGCGTGATGGCACCTTCGAGCCCAAGACTCCCCGACCGGAAAGCCTCCTCTCTCCCTCAAAAAAAAAAAAAAAAAAAAAAAAAAAAAAAAAAAAAACGGCATCTTTCAAAAAAATCTTGCTAGTATCAACCATGAATATTTCCTATTGGCCTAATTAGAAACTTGAAAATACCGCAAATATGATAAAAGCTCGATCTTCACGCACGTAAAGCCCTTTCATCATACGCCAAATTTCCACACCGCCCATTCCCATAAACGGAGCTGATGAGAGGCTAAGGTGCCCCCCCCCCCCCCCCGAAATTTGAAATAGTATCATCTACAATCATAGATTGTAAGCCATAGCACTGGCCCAAACATAATTAGAGAACTTGAGGGGCAAGCGAAATAAGAGCAGTTTTTGAAAAAATTGAGGTATCAATGATTTCAACTTTCTTTACGCGCCGCACAGTGGATCGAGTCGATTGGAGATGTCGGACAAAATTTGGAAACTTTAAGCGCTTATTACTCCGTTTATTCAATACTTTGAGGTTTTAAAAGTGGTTCCGTTGAATTTCTTGTGAAATTTTCTTTCAGTAGCATCCCTTAAAATTAAAATTTTGACGAAATTAACATAAAAATTTGCAATTATAGTAAAAAATGTCATACTCAACCTCTCTAATTGACTCGATCTACTGTGCGCCGTACGGCTCTATGTAAATTTGATATATGCCGCCAGTATATGCCATTGGTTTCCTTATTCAGAGAGGTGCTTTTACAGAGGAGCCAGGGTACCTTATTGCAAGATGTAATCCAACTCTACAATCCTGTTGCATAGGAAGTATCGAAAATGTGGGTTGGCTCCTTTCTAATAAACTCGGTCCAAATAGGACAGGAAAAGGCAGGGACAAGGTTGAAAAACACAAAAATTTACAAAACACGAGACGTTTCGACCGGTCTCAAATTTTGCATTAAGGAACCACTATATTTCTTTAGAAACAACGTAGATGCCATTGGTTTCACTCTGCAGGAAGGCGCTTTTATAGAAGAGCCAGAGATAGTGATTTTCTGGCTATATCTATCCTGACTATTTCTGGCTCATTTTAGAAACAACGTATATGCCATTGGATTCCCTATGCAGAAAGGTGCTTTCATAGAAGAGCCAGAAATAGTGGTTTTTCTGGCTACTTCTATCCTCACTATTCCTGGCTCATTTCAGAAACAACGTATATGCCATTGGTTCCCCATGCAGGAAGGTGCTATTATAGAAGAGCCAGAGTTCCTCATTCCAAAATGCACGGAGAAAAAAACCTCGTGCGTGAGACCCGAAGTTTAGGTCATATTGATCTCTGAACACTTTCAATCTTTTCAGATTGAGCATCTGAACACTTTAGGTCTAGCTAACGAGGTTCGGATCACACATCTGAAACTTCAGTTCTTACATCTGAAGTACTTATTCAGGTGTGAGGACCGAAGTTTTTTGGATGTGAAAACCGAAGTACTTCAGATTTAAGAGCTGAAGTTTCAGATGTGTGATCCAAACCTCGTTAGCTAGACCTTAAGTGCTCAGATGCTCAATCCGAAAACTTCGGGGATCCATGTGACCTAAACTTCGGGTCCCGCGCACGAAGTTTTTTTCTCCGTGTAGAAGAGCCAGAAATAGTGGTTTTTCTGACTGTTTCTATCCTGACTATTCCTGGCTCATTTAAGAAACACCGTATACGCCATTGGTTCCCCATGCAGGAAGGTGCTTTTATAGAGGAGCCAGAGTTGCAAAATGTAATCCAATTTCACGATCCTGTTGCATAGGGAGTATACGCACCATGGTAGCTGCCGTCCTGGGGGGCTGCGGCTTTCACTAAATGCGCCGTAACATATACCTAGGCAAAAAGTCAATTTGGCCCCTAAAAAATTTTCAATGGCGCCTAAAAATCGGGCTTGATGTGCCGCATGGCTCCTAAGACTCAGAGGTGAGTTTCAGCACTATTAGTACGGCAGTTCTACGATCCTGTTGGATAGGAAGTATACGCACCATGGTAGCTGCCATCCTGGGGGGCTGCGGCTATCCTCCGTCGGGGGGCCTGGGCGGGGGTCACTGCACGTGGGGGCGGTTGGCGGTTTCCGGGTCGGGCACTGGAGGTCACGATCGCGGGCGGCGACGAGGATCGGAAGCTGTCGAGGTGCGCACTGAGGACTGATCGGGGACAACGGCGAGTCAGGTGGATTCGAGTCCGCGGTGCGTCGGGAAGGAACGCGATCGGATCGGATCGGATCGGCTCGGGAGCGCGGACGCGTGAGGCGGATTGCGAGAAGATCAAAGGTGCACTTGCTCCGGCTTTTAAAAGGAATTAGCCACCGCGATGGCAGCCGCCGCACGGTGGATCGAACCAATAGGAGAGGTCGGACAAAATTTAGAAACTTTAAACTTTTATAGAGTCCCTTTTTACTGAGAGTCAAGACAATGCGAATCCATTTCTGATTGGTTAACCGGATTTTAGGCCTTCACTCGGGTTCGACAAGGAACAAACGGAATGAGAGAAGGAACGGAGAAAGGAATTTAAGAATGGGCCGATCAAAGATTACGAAAAACGTTCAATTTGTGTAATCTTTATTCCCGTTTGTGACTCCACGAGGGGTGTTGTCTTGACTCTCAGTATAAAGGGACTCTAAACGCTTATAAGTCTGTTTATACTCAACTTGGAGGTTCTAAAAGTGGCTCCACTGGTTTTCTCGTGAAATTTTCTTCAAGAAACACCCCTTACAGTTTACAATGTGACTGAATGATCATCAAAAATTACGATTGTAGTCAAAAATTTCATGTCCGACCTCTCCGTTTGACTCGATCCACTGTGCGCCGCTCCGGATCGCATCGGGGCCGGGGGGATCCGAGGCCTTACGTAACCCCATCTCCGCCGAGCTCTGTTACGTAACCCGAGTGCGGATTATTTATTTATTTACGCGCCCGAGACGCTTATGTATCCGCCGGGATCTTCCCAGGAGCCCTGCAAGAGTATCGTGTTGGCGAAAAAAGGAAAAGAAGGTGGGTGGGAGGGGCGAAAAATTATTAAGATTGACAGAAAGTAATCGATAAAAAAAAACCCTTCGGAAAATCTCGAGAAACGTCCTGAATTAGATCAACCACGGACACTCATTTGTCCGCCAGGATCTCCAGAGAGCCCTGATTGGTACCCTGGGCATGAGCGATTTTTCAACGAAAAAAGAAAGAAAAGAAAAGAAAAGAGAGGAAGGGGGGGAAACGTTGATAAGAGGAGGCAAAACGTACTAGAGCAATCTTGAGAAATACCATACTATAGATAAACTTCAGTCACTTACTCATCCGCTGGGATCTTCTCTAGGAGTCGTGACCGGGCAAGAGTACCATGTTGGCGAAAGAAGAAGAAGGAGATGGGGGAGGAAGGGGCGAAAAATTGATGAGAGGAGGTAAAGTGTACTCAGAAAAGAGGTGGAAAAACTTGGAAAAATCTCGAGGAATACCATACAATAGATCAACTGCAGACACTTATTTATGCGTCGGGACCTTTCTACGGAGCCCTGATTGTTGCCCTGGACATGAATAATATTTCAGCAAAAAAAAGATGAGGAAGGAAGGGGCAAAAAATTGATAAGAGATGGCAAAACGCACTCAGGAAAAAGGGGAGAAAAACTTACAAAAATCTCGAGAAATACTACATAATAGATCAACGGCAAACATTTCTTTATCCGTCGGTATCTTCCAGGGTGTCCTGATTGGTACCCTGGGCAAAAATGTAATTTCAGCAAAGACAGAGAAAAAAGATGGAGGAGAAAGGGACAAAAAATTATAGAAGGAGGCAAAATGCACTCGAGTATGACGGTGAACAACTTAGAAAAATCTCGAAAAATTCCCTACGGTAGATCAACCGCAGTAACTTACATATCCGCCGGGATCATCTCTGGGAGTCGTGGCTGGGCAAGGACGTCCTTCCAGCGGAAAAAACATAAAAAAAAACGGGAGAAAGGGGCAAAAAATTTATAGGAGGAAACAGAATGTACTCAGGGAGAGTGAAAAAACTTCGGAAAATCTTCAGAAGTGCCCTGAAACAGATCAACCACGGACACATTTTTATCAGCAAGAATCAAGCGAAACCGTTATTTCAGCGAAAAAAGGAGAAAAAGATGGAGGAGGAAGAGGCTAAACATTGATAAGAAGAGACAAAATTTTCTCAGGAGGAGGGGGAAAATTTTCGAAAAATCTCAAGAAACGCCATATAACACGCCAACTGCAAACACTTATGTATCCGTCGGGATCTTCCAGGAAGCTTGATACCCTCGGCAAGATCGCCAACTCAGCGAAAATGGAGAAAAAAGATGGAGAAGGAGGAAGGGGCAAGAAATGATAATAGGAGCCAAGTATACAGCGTTTTCTAGGAAATTTATACCCGTTGGACGAAATCCTGGATGCGGATTTTTAAGACTACTTACTTCCATTACAAATCCCTTGAAATGGAGATGTTGCATTGGTGAGGAATTTGCGATTTGACTGTTGATTCTCATGTAAAAAGTTCGCGAGAAACACGATGGCGCCACTGGTTTTCTCTGAAATCAACTCCCAAGCTCAAAAAAAGCTCTCAAGTTGAGGCCAAAATGGAGGGATATCCCACCCTACCCTGAGAGTCCACCTCTACATCAAGACAAACTCTCCATGCAAAGATAGGGAGCAAATACATTAGCAGGGTTGTCGTGTTTTCAGTTTTAGAGTGCCCAAGTAAAGTGGCAGCCCTGTCAATGTATTTGCTCTATATCTTTGCATGGAGAGTTTGTCTTGATGTAGAGGTGGACTCTCAGGGTAGGGTGGGATATCCCCTGCGGAACTGCACCCGAAAAGAATGTAAGGAAACGGAGGACAAAGCTCCGAGACGGTAGCCGGAGGAGTAACCGAAATCACCGGGTATAAAATTGAAGGAGCGTCTTGCGTTCTATTACCCGTCCTCGTCACCGACACTGATGACGTCAGCGGGAGAAGAGAGATCCGGTGTGTCACCTTCAACGCACTTATCAAGTCACCCCCACCAATTCCTTCGATCACTATTTCGTCAAATTCGACTGTTTTTGGTTTCGCGCTGTTGGGATCTAGCAAGTCGGATACAAGCCCAGAGAAAAAAGGTGTCCAGCCAACGTTGACACAATATTACTCACCGTTTTAACAATTATATTTTATATTAAACTATTGCGTCGATATTTAAAGAATATTGTGAGAGTCAGCATTTAAATAAAAGTAGCAAAATATTCTTATTTGGATTTTTACAAGCATCATATAAAGAGAAAATGCTCAAAAAATATTGAAGAATTACGGAGTGAAACAGTTTTCAGGTGAATAAGAGGCCAACTTTTAAAAAATTATAGTAAAATACTCCAAAAATATCAGTATTAAATCCTACAATAATAAATTAATGTTAATGTTTTAACTCTGGCTCAAATCCGACATGCATATCACTTAATAGGCACGTGTTTGGCACAATTTTGGGAATTTTTAGACAACAATTTTGTCTCGTCGTGTTTTCAGCCTTGTTTCCCCTATTGTTTCAAATTCATCAGCAATAAGATAAAGATAAAATACGGCCTTTATACGAGTAGCATACTCAGGAATCAAGGAATATACACATCAAACTTTAGTTTGTTTACAAGCAAAGTGTTAAATTCATCAAATTATCGTCTGCTTGCAATTCGCCTTCAATTTTCCCGCATAGGCAATAAACATACCAAGGAATTTCACATTGTTATTCTGCTTGAAAAACTAAAAAATATCTCGCTGCATATTGGCGGTGAAACTGCCGTAACGCATTTTTCGATTTAATGACTCGTAGTTAGTAATGCTCCTGGGTCTGGTAAAATTTCGGGAAGAAATGCGATAGATAAAAATGCAGTGGCCTTTATAGACTTTCCGTCTGAATTTATTTATAAAAATAATAATAATAATAAATTTCCAATCGTTATTTCTCGAATTTGTCTCTGATTTTTCCTCTCTGTCTGAATTGTGTATCTAAATCTCTCTTTGAGGGATCATCCATGAGAATTTCAAGCAATAACTTAGGTTATAAGTAAATTGTTTTGTTCTCATTCGCTAAAATATAACGACGGTGTAAGTCTGCAACCAGGTAATTCGTTTGCGGTGTTTGAAAATCTCCGCTCCTATTTTATTTCTTCAAAGGAGAACAAGTCGGCATCATTCCTTGAAGTTTGCGCAGAATTTTACTCGCACGGAGAAGAAAAATCACGACAATTTAAAAAAAAGTAAAGTATGACCTCGCGGTTGCAGACTTCCACCGTAGATATTAGGAAACGGAACTTTTGGACGTGCAACGAGATACGCATTCCTGCAGTTTCAATGCCGATAAGTTCATTGAGCGAATAAAACCAATCTGTAAGCCTACTATTGCGGATATCTTGCACTTATAATTCGCCTTTAATTTCACTGGATACACTGGGAAAAAAACACATTGAATCTAGAGTCCAGACTCTTAAAAACATCGACAAGAAAAAATACTCTTGATTCAATCAGCGATTTTAGCTTAAATCAAGATCCAATCCTCTTAATTTGAGCAGAGTTTATTTTAATTTAAGCGGAATTTTGATCCGTATTTATTTTTTGAATTTTGAATTTGATCTGATTGAATCAAGAGTCCTTTTTCTTGTCAATGTTGTCAAGAGTCTGGACTCTAGATACAATGTGTTTTTTTTCCAGTGTAGGTGACAAACATTCCGGGGATTACAAATAGTTGTTTCCCTGAAAATTATACAAATATCTCGCCGCATACCATGATTGAAACAACTTGGTCAATGTGTTCGTCTATTGTTGGGTAAAGTGCACTCAAAATTCACCTTCAATTTTGCCAGGTAGGCAACAAACATGCCAGGAAGTGCGAATATTTATCTCTTCAAAAAAAAGCACATCCCGCTGCATACTTCATTGAACCCATAAAACCCATGGTTAGACCTATTGCTGGATGTCGTCTCTTAAATTTCGCCTTCAATTTTTCCTGGTAGGCAACAAACATGCCAGAAAATACGCAGTCATTTTCATAAAAATCTTACAAATCGATTACCAAGGTGCGAAACCACGTATCTCCGTTTGCTACGTTGCAGACTTCCAGTCCGAAATAATTATTACATTCGAAATCTCGTCAACTCAATTTCTCGAGAACTTCTTTAATTATTATTAGTATTAACAGAATATCTCTCATACCTCTGAAGATCATTTAAGCACCATGATGATGTTTCATTTTACTGGACCGTTCTATTAAAATAATAAAACACGAGTGGAAACTTGCAACATCGAAATCGGAGGTACGCATTTTTCGACGTTATCCGTCGATGTATTTTTATCTTATTTTACACGCATTATCATTCAATATATTGTCAAATTTTATATTATATTGTAAACGGACATGTTTATAGAACGTGAGCAACTTTAAAAGGGTTTTCTTCTTCTTTTCCTTCCTCTCCCCAATCCTTTTCTTTTTCTTCCACTTTTTCATGTTTTGCTTTTCTTTCTTCAGATTTTAAGAGTTTCCTCTGACTACAATTATGTGATTTGTAGGCTTCTTGCAAAATTCTACCAAGATCACAAAAGCGGTAAAATTCAAAAAATAAAAAAAAAAATAATTATACAATTCAGTTCAGGTGGTGTGTGTGTATAAGCTCCGCCGTGACAGTGAGCGCGCGGGATTAATTTACCCGTCACTTTGAAATTTCCCGCGACAATTCAAATTCTGTTACGTTGGTCACTTGGAGAAGCGGGAAAAAAAGTTGGCAGTGCTGGTAATGATTCTAACCTCAAAGTCAAATCAAAACAAACCGAGAATGAGAATGTGAAATGTGATTGTGAAATCTTTGTGAAACCCTGTATCTTTAATTTAAGTTAAGCTCTAATCATTGTAATTGTTAAATAATCGTCTTTGTCTTTTAGTTTTTAATGTATACCGTGGTTTCTCCGTTTGCGTCGGGGTAACATCTAAATCACACAGCAATGTTAGTTGATGGATCTGATACCTGCATCCTGAATCTCAATCGTTTGACCAAATCTATTTTATTTACTTGATATGACAAATGTATGCATGTTTTATACTATAATCATCGAAGAATACTCAGCCAATGACTTGAAACCATTGCCATGTGAAACATTGCAATGATCGCATCAAACCTCTCACTCTACCTATGTGCGTGGTAGAACCACCCTGGTCTGAATCTCATTCTTCTGGCACTCTAAGTTTATGCTACAATCCTCATGCTTGGTCCAGCTAATAAATCAGGAACATGCACGCTTTTCAAACATCGCAAAAGCATGTTATCTCAAACTTTCTTGGAAGTAAACTGAGGCACAAGAAAATCATATGCATTTTATTCCTGTTCCTATTTATTCTTTTTTGCACATGGGACCAGCTGATATTTTCCCTTTACGTCTACAAAGTGCCAACAGGCCTGAATTGTTACAAAGACCAACAGAAAGATTTAGCTGTTCTTACGGTCCCTGATTATAAAGTTCCACCAAACAGTATTTTTTTTGTTGAAACATCATGTCGACATGATGAAGGCATCGACATCTCTAAAAGACAAGCCTGTGCCTATGAATCAGCTGCCAAAGTTCACCCAGACTCTGAAATCTTGGTGTTATTTCCGTCTCCGATTTCTCTGGGCACCCAGTCAACGCTCGTCACTGAATTGTTGAAGTATCCCAACATAAAATTGGTGCACATTGACATGGAGAAGTATTTTTCAGATACGCCTCTAGAAGATTTTTACAAGCAAGGCAAGTTAGAGAAGAGCTACTGGCCAAAATCTCATGCAAGTGATGCTCTAAGATATTTGACGTTATGGAGATATGGCGGCACGTACTTGGACTCGGATATTGTTATGATTAGGTAAGAATCAACTAAGCAAGTACCTCATTGCTAATCAGTAATTCAATTTGGAATAGCCCACACTTCTTCTTTTGGTTCATTCAAAAAATAAAACAGTTTTATGAATCACTTGACCACACCTTAGGTTGGTATGGATTCAGTCTTTTCTGAAAAGTAAACATGTGTAAATTTAAGATTTCTATCTGCTGCCTCTTAATTTTTAAAGGATAACACCATTTTTGTCATTTTGCCACTCTTTGCAGAAAACTATCTCATAAGCTACCTTATATCATAGAGGATAAAGGGAGGTTGAAGAGTAATTTCTTATGAACCTTCTAACTTACATCATTAGAGACGACCCGTCTGGACCTTTCTACATCTTTGCCCTATTATTTCTCTCTTTATCTCGCCTATTGGTTGTACTACCTTTTCACATCTTTGAAATGACTGTCAAAACAAAAATTTCCACCACTTTCAGTTTTTCCTCCATGATTTTGCATGTGGAAAATTTTAAAGAGCATTGTTCGTGATGTGCTATTGTAGCCACTATAGTTAAGGCTGTCAAAAAAAAAGTGGAGGCAAAGAAAATTCTGCACTTTTTTCTTAGGAACTCAAAAGTTGCTCCTCCTTTCGCTGAAAATTTTACAAAACATCTATAACTTTCAGCAAGGCAAATTTTTTCTCCAAGGACTTGGTAATTTTTCCTCCAGATACCTACTGAAAGTTTTGTGACGACTCCTTGGCAAGAATATCTTCCTTTTGACTCTTTAAGGTCTTAATATTTTTTCAATAGTTTTTTCATCTTGAGGTGATCTTGATTAATTTTTGTCCGTAGATGTCTTGTTTTCCCAGTAAAAAGTAGCAAGTCTGCTACCTCCTCTGAAAGATTGCCACCGTGTATCTTAGCCCCTATAATTAAATCTTCTCTCAGTTGAAGAGGGATTTTTTTCCTCCTTCTTAGGCATCTAACTCCTGTAATTTGATCATTTTGCAGGCCTATCAATACAATGGAAAATTTTGCGGGTGCAGAATCAAAGACAGACATTGCTGCTGGTTTTTTGAATTTTAATATCAGTGGCGTCAATGGAAGACAGCTTGCTGATGAAATGATCCACGAAATCAAGAACAATTTTCGTGGCTGGGATTGGGGTTACAATGGACCAGGAGTTGTTTCTAGAGTCTTACGCAGGATTTGTAATGAAGAAAATGTGAGTGGAAGTTCTTCATTCTAATTCTCAACAATTATGTAGAGCATTTTAGCCGGCCAGAAAGTTTTTCAATGATAGAATTTTCTGAATTTCTCTTCATCATGTAACTCTTCTCCATCAGATGACTTCATAGAATTAATTCCCATAGTAAGATAGGTAGATAGATACATACATACATACTTTATTCTGAAAAAAAAATACTGAGAACAAACTATTTTTACTATTTCCGCTTTGAGTTTGGCTCGTGCTGTGGAGTTAGTAGTGAAATACAGATTAAAACTAAATTAATATTTTGGCCACATTGGTTACTGACCCAGACTAGGTACTTAAACAAAATAGAATCACAGAGAAAATTTACTAAATTATCTAAGTAATCTAAAATATATAATCAATGATACTTAAATAGGTAAGATATGATAAAATCTGGGTTACTGAATACTGAAATGAACTTAATGGCAGCACTCTGAAGCAGGAATGAGACAGAAACGTTGAACGAGTAAGATTAAAGACTCGCATTTTGGTTCTCTGGTTGCAGTAATGAATTTTGAGGACGTCTAAATTCATTGCTCATTGTGGCAATTATTCACCTGAAAAATCTAGTGGAGGCCAGCGGATCTAGTGAAAGGCAATAGTTAGGGAAAACCTGAAAATATCAGGGAAAATGACGAAAGGTTCAGAGAAAAATTATTAAGTCAGCTTTATTTGCTCTCTAGAATTGGTTAGATCTTTGAACAACAATATCACGAGAAAACTATTTCAAATTATGTCTTTTCATGCATCTGGCTCATTTTCAATTTTCAAGGAATTTCACCAAAATGTGACAGAGAGATCAGGAAAAACCATTTTCTAAAGTCTGTGGCAACCGAAAAGCTGTGTATCCCCATCCCTGTTTCAAATTACTCTGTGTGTGAAATGAAGTATATAAGGTATTGCAATTGAGGCACTGGATGCGAAAAGGGCACTTCTCGATTGCGGTGTTTCAGAATCTCTGTTGCTAATTAATCCCTTGGAGAAGCCTTTAATGGGTGATTTTTCCAGAATTCTTTCCATAGAAAATTGTAGAATCATAAGGAATATTCAGTAGAATTTTTAGTGAAATGGACACATTCACTTTCCTTACAATGAATGAAATATTAGAGAAGACTCTGAAACACTGCAACCGAGAAGTGCCCTTTTTGCACCCAGTGCCTCAATTGCAAGACAAACTTATGTGTTTATCTGTGTTATAATCTTTTTCCTCAGCTCTCCTTGTTTGTCACCAAAAAATGGGAATAAGCTATAAAATTATTGATTGTTTTTTTGCAGGTTCTGCGGATGACTCCTGAGAAGTGTAAAGGCTTTACCGTGTTCCCACCCTCTGCATTTTATCCCATCTCTTGGCGTAACTGGAGGATGTATTTCAACGAGCACGTGAGTCAAATGTTTCTTGACCAACTTGGCGAGAGTTTTGGAATTCATGTGTGGAATATGCACAGCAGCAAAACTCCCGTCAAAGTCGGGTCGCGGATGCCTTATAGTGTGTTTGCCTCTAAATTTTGTCCGAGAGTATATTCAGTTGTTGGTGATTATTTGTAAGCGGTTTTTAATGTTGTTTCACTTATTTATTTTTGCCCCATTAGCCATTTACGTACTACTTCTTTCTAGTTACGGCAAGTTAACTTAGGAAAGAAATTTTAAAAAGGTGTAGGCACTTTGTCAGGTTGGCTGTCTTAATCAGGTTTTATTCTAGACGTAAAATCCTAGCCCGGTACTTGGTGCTTCGGTTTATTACTTAGAAGTTAATTATTGTATTAGAAGTTGTTACCAAAATAAAGTCTAAGAAAGCAACTCTGCTGGCTTAGGAAAAACATTGTATGAGCCCTCAGATGTTGTCAAACTTCTTTTGACAAATAACAAATTTTTGGACAAATTTGGAAGTTTTTCTACTCCAAATGCTCACATAATTTGTTTGTTGATCTGAAGTCTGAAAATTTCAATGAAGAAAATATTCACAACTTTCCTTAAAAGTAATTCTTTCTTGAAAGTAAATTTGGCAATATTTGAGTGTTCCTACAGCGTTTTTTCTTAGCACAGCAAAAGTGCAGGTGTATCTTTTCCATTCAGGTTTTTTGGTGAATGGTTTCACTCTCAAAATATGTGTTTCCAGGGACTTTCTGAGCTCTTTTGGTACGCAATTAGTCAAAAAACTCTTTGAAAAACATTGCTAACTGAAAGATACTATCCAAGTCCAGAAATACCCAAAACATACGATTTTTTGACAATTTTATATTTGAAAAAGTCAGCCTTTTGAGTCAAAATCAACGTTATAATACTTACATGCTAAAGGAAAACGTACGAACATTCAAATGTTGCCAAATCCCTCCCTGATAAAAAACATACTTTGGAAAAAGCATGTGTCTATGCATGTTTTTTCCTTGAAATTTTTAGATTTTTTTATTTAATTGCAAAGAAAATCGTTTGACAAATCGGAAGAAAAATATTTACAACTTTTCCAATAAATTCCTATTTTATGAAAGGAAATTTGGCGACCAAGAGGTTCATACAGCATCTTTCCTCGACACAGCAGAATAAGGGATACAAGAAGCAGAGTGATGTACACCTTCTGATGTCTTATTTATTGAGTTAATCAACAAAAGTGTCTCCAGTCAAACTGAATTTTTTAACTAGGTATGTAGACATAGCTCATCACTCACCGAAAAGATCTTATTTTTAAATGACTCCTCCTACAAATATTCAGATCAGTGACTACAATAAGCGTAAATCTCTTACAACCAGGAAATCAAAAATCAATTGCTCCTCAAAATATTATCTTTTCAAAAACATTTTGTTGTAATAGACTCTGCCAACCTACAAGGCACCTGTAGTGTGCACCTACAAGGTTGTTATATGTTGTTTACGGATTTATACAATACTCCTAAAACTCAAAACAAGTGTTCTCTGTGTGTCATTGATGATTATCAGCAAAAAATTGATAATTCAAGAGAGTTAGAAATCAGAGTGTGTGTTTCCTCAGACAAGCTTCATCTACAACAGCTAAGAACTTTTGAAAGTCTCTAATGGACCACTAGGCAAAGTTCGAATTTAAGCATTCAGAAACATGTTTCCTGATCAAAATTTTATATTAAACATGATTTGTGCCACAAAAATTACTGAATTCATCCTCTAAGTAAAATGTTAACATTTTTAGTTCACATCGGCTGCTCACAAGAAAAACAATACCCTACTTGAATCAAATTGCCAACTAAAACTGTTTTGCAGGCTTCTTAATCGAGCAATTTTCCTTTCCCACCTTGTGCTGTTTGAAGTGTTAACAACGTGCATCAGCTGAGCCAGAGCACGGAGATTAAGGTTTCTATATTTTCAAACCACAGAAATTGTTATGGCAACGTTTATTGCGCAATCCAACTTGCGTTGAGTTTTTTATTTTCTTAAGCAAAAGGTTTAAATCTATGCATCAAAACTTGTGTAATTCTTCAGTTAAGAGTTAATTTTAGCAATTTTCCTTGTCGGAATCGTGCTGTGCGTTACATTTTAGTTAGGAGACATTTACCAGAATGTTAAAATTTGCACCTTATTTAGTGGTTCAGTTTGAAGCATTTTCCAGACTTCTCAGCGTGCACTAAATTCTTAAGGTCAATGTGATTGTATTTCTAGTTTGCAATGTACCCCTGTACCATGAGTGAAATGCACCGATAAATGTTTGAAATCAACTTTTAATTGATAGGCATTAGTGATTAATGGGAAAGAATTTAATCATTGGTGTGATACCAAAAATCTTCTTGAAGTAAAAAACGAGCAGTTGTTCCTAGGAAACATTTAAAACTGTGATACTTGATTGTAAATTATCTTTTTAGACTGTCCATCATAATGTTTAATCTATTATTTATCAGGTTTCCTGAAGGATTTTTTTCCAATTTTAATTTTTTCAACTGTAAATAGCTTTGTTTTTTTGTAATTTTAATGTTTAACTTAATGATTTATTTCCTTAAAATGCATTATATTAAGGAGCGTTCAAAAGGCACGAGGTGATGGATATAAATATACCTAGTCAAAGTTTCCTAAATTTTTGTTTGAAAAGACAGGGCATTCTAAAAATCCCCATGAACTCTACATTCTAAGTTGTGGTTTGAATTTCAAAGAATGTAATCAGCTCTTCTATTCGTTCAAATCCATTTAATTTTGTGAATTATTCTCTTTATGTAATTTCAGCTTACCGACATGATGAAATTTTTTATATTATTTCAGTAAGACCTCTTTTTTTCAAATCTCTGGAATCATACTTCTAAAATTTAATTTTCTATGCTTTTTTCTATTTTTGTTAAGATTTAAAAAGACAATTTTTGTAATGTAAATCACTGGTTTGGGGATTTTTAAAAAATATTTAGGCTGCAGGAGGTAGCTTTTAAGGCTTAAAGGACAGACATCCAGTAGTTTTTGAGCTTTTGATGAATGACAACCCTTTATATTACATTGTAGGCTTTTATTGTTTGTTTCGAGAATTTTTTGTGGGGGTTTTTCTTGAAAAGTGTATCAGATATGAGCAGTGAAAAATTATTCCCCCCACCGCTTTCATCACTAAAGGAGCAATGCTACCCTCGTGCAATTTGAAAAAGCCTTACGGCTGCATACTGAATCGACTTTTCCAGTGCAGTCTAAGTGAAGAGCAAATAAACAGCAAACCTTTCAATTTACCTTGTGTCATATATAAAACAAAGTCAAACCAAAAATTATATTCGCAGAGAAAGTCACTAAAGCAGGATTGCTCCTTTGGCAGCAGAATGATAGATGTATAAAGTAACGAAACAATCATTTTAAACTCTTATTTGTCAGCGAATGATGTTCTACTTTTGGTCAGTTGGCAAGCATTGCAACACAGGAATGATTTTATTTTATGAGATGATAAAATCCAGAAAAATCTATGGTTGTTTTCTATATTTTCTGCAGTACTTATAGTTTTATGAAGAGGGAGATTAGCTCGTTAATTTTTTTAATTTTGGATTAAACATTTAATTTTTCTTTCTGTTTGTTAAGTTCATACATTGTTCGTAGATAGCTTTTTGCTTTTTTTCCTTCTCCTTCTTTCTTTTTTTCTAAAGTCATTAGGCTAATAACTCTTGAATCATTGCATCATCTAGCTAAAAAGCTCCTTCTTTTTGTGTCATTGAACCCACAGACTTTTGTTGTAATGGCATATTTTTTCAAGCTGACTACATGTCGTTAAACTTAAATAACTATGAGATGTAGGGAAATTGAGTAATGACGAAAAAACTTAAACTTTATAAAAGTAGCTTAACCAAGAGACAATGAGGTAATTTTCAAATTATTTATTTTATCTCCTCTAAATTATTTAATTTAATTGTAAATTGTGGACAACCTTGTCATCTTTAAACAGAATCATAGATTACATTTTTGTCTGTGTTTTTAAATTTACGCTGTATCCATACTTTTAGTTGGATTTGTTGAAGACATAAATAGCACAAATTTACCTCATGAATTCTCATCCATGTATAGAATCAATACTGATCATCGGAATCTCACATCACCTTAGTCATTAGTTTTCAAATGAAGTCATACAAATTTAATGGAACAGACTCATCCATTTTATAAAAAATTGTTAAAATTTCATGAACAAACCTTGTGTACAGAATCTACAAATCTATAGAATCTCAAATTATTTCACGTACTATTGTTCAAAAAAAATTGTATCTCACAGATTTTCCTCAATAGCTACTCAAAAAAATTTTTATCTACTTAACAACCCATTTTCAATCTAAGATAGAAAAATTATAAAAACAAGCCAAAATGTAGCTCTTAAATGAATGGTTTGTAGTTTTGCTTTTTATAATCAATGCTTTTCTTCTTTTTAATGGGGCTTTTACATGGTTATAGAATGTTGATTCTTAATTAGGTTGTTTTAAAAATGATCAACTGCTTTTTTTAGCATGGAAGAAAACGGGAGGAGATAGCCAGTAGCCAGCACCCAGTGATGTAGTCAAAAGAAAGATATGTCAATAAAAAGCGAGAATTGTTGAAAGCATTGTGCAGTCTTGCCTTACTTGTCACAGTTTGATGTCATACCTGGCTGTATGGGCTAAGGTATTGGTTTCTTTTCCCATATATTTTACCATTTTTTAAAAAGTGGGATTTTTCATTTTTTCTTTTTAAAGTCTGTATCCTCCCCAAATGATTTGCGAAGTAGTCACTAAGCTGAAACTGGCGGTCGTCTCCTGAAATTTCTCTGTGTTCTTTTAGTTTTACTCAGAAATCATATTTGTACACCTCTGTTTTAGAACTAGCCGAACAATCCGATCAAATATTGTTTAATCAGCTATCACTTCATTTTTTTAATTCAGGATCCTCTTAGGCCTATGTTTCATGGAGTGTTCCATTGGTAGCTGTTCGTAATTTGAGTCTTTAATTGCATCAATTCTACTCTTGGATTTGTTTTTATCTTTTCGTTTGCATATTTTTATTTTTTCTCCCTTTAATTCAAAACAACACACACACTCAAAAGAGACATAACCGAAACACATTCTTTTAAAATCCTTTGTATGATATTTTCAGATTATTTCATAGCCACCGATTCAATCATCGTTTTTTAACGCAAAGTCTTGCATGTTTTTGGTTGTTTAAAAACATCACTCTTGAGTTTTGTAAGTAAAATCGTCCAGCACATGTCCCATAAAACTGTTTAATCATAGAAGAATATCTTACCAAAATCCTTTATAATGTTTGCAACATTTAAGAACAAATGACACTGTAAGATGCATTTGTGATGAATTTGTAAGAGTGTCTTAGTTTAAAACTTTAATCGAACAATATGAATCATTGAATTTTTATTTTTTTTTACTGTTCTTCAATAGTTATACTTAATTTTAATGTTTATTGTTATTTCACCATCGGTTGAGTGTGTTTTGAGTCTCAAATTGTCTGTTTTTCATTTGCCTCTCATTTTGTTTTAGCTCTTGATATTTTGCTACGTGTTACCTGTACACAGTTTTCTAGCCTAATAAAAGGCTTTTTTTATGATTCTTTGGCTCTGATTTATAGTGTCATCCCATCATACGGACTTAGCTCCCAACATAGTGCTCCTGTAGTAAAACCTCTGGCTTTTAAAAAGAACAATTTCAGTGTTTTCCGCAATTTTCAAGTACCTTTATCTCCATTATTTTAGGAAAATTTAGAATTAAAAAAATACGACTTTATCTTCAGCCGTCACCGAACTCGCATGGTTTGCTAACGGCTGCAGATAAGGTCGAAACGCATTCCTGATTTAATTGCATGTGTGCAAAAAAGTACGGTTTTTAAACATTTTATTGAATTCCAAGTTTCTTTTTCAATAAAAACTTTCATATTATATTTTCATATTATATATTTTATCCTCCAAATTAAAGAAATATTTTGCATTGCCAATTGGCTCTCCTCATTTTCGCGTTACAGCAATCAATTTTTGCAGTCTACTTTTTTCAGCAGAAATATCAAATATTTCAAATGAAGTAGGTACATCGAGAATTTTACTTTAACCACTAAGATTCTTAGTAGAAATTAAACGTCATTGAAGAGTAAATATCAATACATTCATGAAGCTAATTCCTTTTCATCTGAGAAGCGGAGGTCAACAATTTATTTTCACTTTTACGCCACAGAAATATTAAGAAAAACAAAACTTTAAGAGATATTCTCTTTAAAATCAAAGAAATAATGAGGAACTTATTCTTAAAGTAATAGTTATAAAAAAGAGGAGAATAAAGTTTCTGAACTGCTGCAAGAAGCCAGCTTCGCTCCTAAACCACATCACATTGCCTAGTCACGCCATTGAAGGCGAACTGATCTCAGCGCGGAACGCTGCTGCTGTTTGTATGTACAGTAATTTACATGACACCTCTATTGAAACCAAATTAATGTCACCACACTGCTGTATAAGTAACTATTACTTCTCCTGAGCCGCTTAGTTTGCCTATTCGCGCTTTTGAAGGCGGACTAATCACATCACAAAACACTGCTATTCCATGCACAGTAATTTACGTGCGACTACTAGGTACTGAAACCAAATCAACGTCGCGTCGCCAACCTGTCGCAAGCAACTATTACTGCTCCTAAGCCAATCACATTGCCTAGTCACGTTGTTGAAGGCGAATTGCTCACAGCGCGGCCGCAACGCTGAGAACATTTTACAGTATTTCAATTAATTCCAATCGCTGTTGAGGTCAAATTAACGTCACCGCAACTACTATGCCGTGCTAAGGAAGAACGCCGTATGAACATTGCCAGAGTTGCCAAATATCCTTCGATAAAATGTTTATTTTTGAGGAAAGTAATGAATATTTTCCCTTGAAACTTTCAAATAATTTAGATCGAATTGCGTACAAAATTGCCCGAAAATTTGGAGTAAAAAATCCACACATTTTCTTGAAAATTGGTATTTTATCTAAAGAGATTTGGCAACGGCTGATGGTTCATAAGTACGACATTTTTCCTTAGCACGGCAGTAGGTACTGTTGTAAGCAACTGTTCCTACTCCTGAGCCACTTACATACTTAATTACGTGTGTAAGGCGAGCTTATCAGAATGGGGGGGAGGGGGGGGTTTTGAAGCATTATTAATGTGCCGAAAACCGAGAGACCGTATTTATTTGAAGTTAAAACGAGATGCTTGTCTCTTGGAAGGAAATTGGCATGATGGCGTTTGACAAAATTCCTATGGCTCCGAAATGAGGAGAAGATGAGAACAGATCGCCGAGCTCTATACTGTTTTACTACGGAAAAACGTCGTATGAGCATTCAAATTTTGCCAAGTTTCCTCTCAGAAAATATATATCTTCAAGGAAATTTGTGAGTATTTTCTATGAAAGACTTAGACACTTCAGAATAAATTACGAACAAAATTTTTTGCAAAACCAGAGGAAAATATTCACCAATTCTCCCGAAAATTTAAGATTAAGAAGAGAAATTTGGCAACGTCTGAAGGCTCATACGGCGTTCTTACTTAGCACGGCAGTATATAACCCGAGGATAAGGTTATGGGCTCCTTCAATGATGATCATTTGAAATGTCTCAAGAGGCGGAAGCCTCTTGATTATCACACGATCATCATCCATTTTGCCGTGCTAAGGAAGAACGCCATGAACATTCGAGAGTTGCCAAATTTTTCTTGATAAGATATGTATTTTTGACGATATTTATGCACATTTTTCTTTTAAATTTTCAGATATTTTAGATTAAATTGCGTACAAAATAGTTTTTGGGGTAAAATATTCACTATTTTACCAGTTAATTCGGTTTTTATCGAAGGAAACTTGGCAACGTCTGAAGACTCAAACGGCGCTCTTCCATAGCAGGGCAGCATTGTCGGTCCCACTAAATACTCCCCCGCCTTTTCTCTGTTCCTCCTCTTTCTCCTCCTTTTCTGTTTTTTTTCTCCAGGATCACTCCCGGTCTATCGAGCAGTCCTTTTCAGTGAGAGTAATTTGGTTTTTACCCAAGTAGCATTTTTCAACGGAATAATCGCGGTATTTTAAAATCAAGTTGCGATTTTTTTACGATTTTTGGCCGGAAAATCGCAAGGATCATCAACATCTGAACGATTATCTCTATTTTACCTCAGAAAATCGACATTCCACCTCAATTTATCACGATTTTTTTTCGATATTGTTGCAATTATTCATCGTTGCCCTGGTAAAAATTAGCAGTAGAATCTGTGTTCCAAAATACCATAGACCTACAGCCGGCTGTAAGATTTCCAACAGCTTCTATAGCCGGATACACAATTTCTTCTAGCCTTTTATAGCCGATGGCGATTAAGCAACAGCCAGACGATAAAGTTTATGCTAAACGTCACTAAATACGGATACCAGGACTTAGTGAGTTTTTGGACTACCGCTCTCTTTTTGGACCGTAGTATCTTGATTTATTTTGCGAGGAAAGCTCCGTACTTTTGATGGATGTCTGCCATTCCTAATATGTTAGCGCGCCTTCAATTTCGTATGATACTGTGCAATACCTCTGGTGTGAAATAGTTGCTTCAAGCGCCGCGGTACGCTGCGGCGGGCGAGCAGCCAGCGCTGAACGCGCATTGGCGCCTGCAAACCTAACAGGGATACTTCACGCATTGCGCAATGCGTGAAGTATCCCTGTTAGGTTTGTAGGCGCCAGTGCGTCGCCGCTCCGCTTTGTGTTAGGCTCTAACATTTAATCTGGCGGAGTCAGCGTTTTTCAACTCATGATTTTGAAATATCATCTGCACGCTCTGTATGGATTATTCTCATTTTAATTGATGAAAAAAAATATGTATTAAAGGAAAATATAATGTGTGTTTTGTAAATATTAAGGTGGTTCCGTATCAAACTTAATGATTTTCAAAGCGCACGAATTTCTACACAATTTCTTTCATAGCAGATGGCGATAAGGTGTATAATCCGGCGATAGGAACTATAGCCCGCCTTCATAATTTTTTATCTCTTCGTATAGCCCGGCTCTATGATTTTCTCCGCTTTCTACAGCCAGCTATATGATTTTCTATCGCCTCCTGTAGCCGGCTATAAGAATTCTTATAGTATTTTGAAACGCAGCTCCTATCGCCAATTTTTACCAGGGTGTCGATAAAATCGAGATTTTATTGCAAATTTCTGTGACATAATCGCAATTTTTCATCCGATAATATTGAAATAAATCGACGTCGATAAAATCGCGATCGCTCCAGTGAAAGTGTTAGTGTTACCTTGAGTTCAAATGTCATTTTAGCAATACAGCATCGCGAAGTTTGCATTTCTCTTTGTTGAAAAAGTTTTAAGAAAAAGCTTGAGCACACAGTGCAACGAAAATGTTGAAATTAAATTTGCAACTTGATTTCAATAATATTGTAATTTTTTTACCATTAATTTGCAATATTTTTACATCATTTAGTCGATTTATGCCTATTTTAAACAATCAGCAAAATGAGCTCCATGTGTCAGAAAGATAGACAACATGCAATGCAATGAAAAATTGCAACTTACTTCAATTTTTTTGCAATAAGTTTCAATAAATGGGGCCCTTTCAAATTGGAGCTAAGCAAAATACACAACATTCAGTGGAATTGCAATATTTTTACAATGAAATTGCCACGTATTGCAATCTGTGCCACTTGGGATGCTTCAAAATATTTTTTGAAGTTATTCACTCGTAAAGCAACTTTAATCGATTTTTTTTTTATTTTATGGGACGCGATTTTATCAACTACCATTCTACTTCTGTTTTCATGTTTCTTGGGGAATTGTTGACAATACGATCCAGCTGTCAGTCGTGATGAAGCTTTGAAAAGAATATATTCAAGAAGTCCCAGGCTACCCATGCAAGGCTTTTTTCTCGGTCTTGTATGTCAGTTATCCAGGACCGAGTTAGATAGAAACGGATCTCAAAGTGGGCCGATGGACTTCCAAACCATGAAAGTCCGATTTCAGGGGTTCGTACCTCTATCAATAAACTACCCGTTCTAAACATCATCCGACCTGAGAAATAGAGAAAAAAGCCCAACGCGGATAATCTGGCACATCGTGTATAAACTTTTGTAAAGCCATAAGACGACAGACCGATACATCGTAGTATCAACAACAGCTTTAATCCCCGGGTAATAAATTTGATGAAATTTTGCCCACCAAATAAAAAAGATCAATTCCAGTTGTTTTTAATGAAAGAACTTAAAGTATTAACATTTTTAATGGGCGCATTTTATAATGGTACTTTTTACAAGACGCACCGACGTTAGAATAAGACGGGGTGTGCCTTCTTGTGTCAATATCACAGTCAACGTAAGCAACGCATTCAATGTTGTTGATGATAACGCCTTGATACAACTATTCGCACTCCATGAGCACGCGTGTTGCATATGCAAAAAATAGAAGGCGCTCCGGTCACTTTTGTCCATGAATCAGTGCATGCAGCAGCTTGTGGTGAGTCGTTACGAATATAAGGTAAGATAAAATTCTCGATATGAACTATGGCAAGGGGACAGGAAACTATGTTTTTGCATCACTTTCACACTCGGGATATTATATCCGATATCATCGATATTACCAATATGCTCGGATATACATACTGAAGCTTTAAGGTGATTCGTCAAGCTCAAGTGACGTTGTCGAACTGGCATGCGATATATCGCATCTTTTAGGTCAAAACTCTCGACAGATTTTGAATTCCAGCATAGAAAAGGACGATAGCCCCTGCGCATAAGCCTGAAGAATCATGCTAAACGCAAAAATCGGCAAAATTCAGAGAGATGAAAGCAGGATAGTGTTTAGAAAAAAACCTCGCATTCGATACAGAAATCGATAGCTGAATCGAATGCGAGGTTTTTTTTCCAAACACTATCCTGCTTTCATTTCTCTGAATTTTGCCGATTTTTGCGTTTAGCATGATTCTTCAGGCTTATGCGCAGGGGCTATCGTCCTTTTCTATGCTGGAATTCAAAATCTGTCGAGAGTTTTGACCTAAAAGATGCGATATATCGCATGCCAGTTCGATCACGTCACTTGAGCTGGACGAATCACCTTAAGGGAAAACGTCGTAAGAACACTCGAGGGTTGTTAAAATCGTATTTTCTTGTAATACACGAAAAATTCACAACTATTGCGCATTTTCAGCAAATTGAAAAAGTTGATGAAGAGAAACGAGTGCTGAATGCGCGCCAAAGGGGCAAAAAATTGGGTACCTATGTGGGAGAACCAACATCTCACCAAAGGAATATGCTGACCGCTGATAAAAAAATTATATTTGTTGAATATTGGCTATCTTTGGCATGAGAAAACGCTGAAGTTACAGGGATTCTGGATTAGGCCGATCTTAGTCAGTATAGGAGCGATTTCGCCCACTGGCGACACCTCACCTTTGGGCATGCCTTTTAAATTTTTCCGCTACCTTCTTTCTCTCTTCAGCTCATTTCTGTCTCATTCCATCAGACCTCTTACTTTCCTCATTTTCGTCCATCTCTCTGTGAGCTTGTACTCATTTTCTGTTATCTTTCATTATCACCGTCGTCGTTATGCTATCGATTCGTACAATGATAGTTTAGTGCAGTGTTGGAGGTTGCTACAGCTGGCGTGGAATATTTTATTATTTGCTTCCAACCAATCAGAGGCTCTTTTCATCTCTGTCTATGAATGACGTCACGACTGGTAGTTGCATATGGATGCACCTACAAATCTATGTATTTTAATAACTTTTAAACCTGTGGCTTCCTGTATCACGATTCATCAGCATCTCGTGCACCGATTCAAAAAAGTATGTCGCAGAGTGATATTACATTCTTCATTTCTTGTGCTCTCTTTTAGTATTAGGACCAGTAGGTAACTACACTATTCGTTTTATTGGTCCCACAAAAAAAAGAAAAAAAATCTTAAACGTCCTTTATCTCAGTTTTGAAGGGATGAAAAAATGAATTCAACGTCCAATGTACAGATTTTCAGTTATCTGTTCGTGTTAGATTTCGGAGCTACTGTATTTGATCCTCAGGTAAGTACAAAATCACTTCGGTTTTGGACGTTACAAACTTTTTATGCTTTAATCCGAATAATGACCTCCAATTGTATTTTTGCAAATTTTGGCCTGTATTGAGCAATTTTTTAGTGGGATTTTTCAAAAATTTTTCCCCCCCCCCCCCCGGAAAATTTTATTTCCCTTTAACTAATCTCCATATTAGTAACTTCATCATTTTCCTTACGATTTAGCCAGAAAGATGTACCGATTTGTATGTACAGATATGGATCAATTTAGTGGCATTATTTTTTTTGGAGTGAAAACAATGACCTCATGCAATTAAATAAACATGATTTCAGGAAATCCTAGAAATTGCCTGTTTAAAAGTGGGCACGAAGTCGAAGCAGGTAGAGGACAGTTTTCGTCAGTACGTGCGGCCAAAATATTGTGGACGACTGAATGGCGTGACTATGAATATCACCGGCGTGCGGCAGGTCAGTTTGTATAAAAATCGATCATTTTATTTTCACCGAAAAAAAGAGAAGTTGATTTAACATTTTAGATGTAAAAAACGTGTGCGAGAACTTACAAAATGCCAGAATTACCCACCACAGCAGTTAATTTTACATCTTGGCATTGCTAAAATGACTGCTATATGGCGGGTAGATAATTAAGCATTTTTTAAGTTCTCGCACACTTTCTTACATCCAGAATGTTGAATCAACTCCAATTTTTTTTCGATGTTTCTGTAATTTAACAGGACGATAGCTAAACACTAAACTTATATGCCCAAATTGGTACCTAGGTTTCGAGATTCATGCGTTTAACTACTTTATTTTTTACAAGGAAAACATGTCCATATCATAGCTTATAATGTTAACGATAAAGAAAATCACTTATTTGGGAGGGAGTCTCTAAGGATTGGGTCTAGATCGCTAACACCACCAAAAATAAGAGAAAATTTCTATTTTCAAGCCGCACAGTATTAATTTTTTTTTCCTCTGAAAAATTACATGTATGCGTCAATAATTTGGAACGTTGTGTTGTCTCAGTTGCGGTGCGAAGTTTTGGACTTTGCGAACGTTGATATGTCATGTTTGGAGAAAAAAATTAATTCAACTTTTAGAGTTTTCAAGGTTAGGCCCTAACATGAAATTTCAAAACTGACACGAAAAAACAAACGTACCGCATTGGGGCAAACCCTCGTTGAAAATTTACCATATTTCAGTGAATTATCAGAGCTTTTCCTGGTGCTGGGCATTGATATGGTGCCGTCTCTAAATTACGTAACGCATCTGTTCGGCATTTTTGACCCCTTCCCCCCCCCCCCCCCCCNTAACATTTTGTGACGTAAATCCCTATCCTTTAACACGCACGGGACGGTACTTTTATTTTGAATTTTGCACTCAGCAAAGATTTTTTTTCTCAGTGAAAAAAAGTCCAATAGTTAGTTTTCAAAACAGTTCAAGGTATGTTCAACAAAATTCAATGTGGATAAAGTTCATACCTATGCAGAATTTTATTTTTTTGAAAATGCCCTTTTCAATTCTCAGGAGATGGTTTCCTCTGCACCCAGATTTAGGGTAGCTTGGATGAAATTTATGAACTGGTATTCGGCAGCTAAAGGGAATCATTCAGTTGCTTTTTTGACGGTTGATAGCTTTCCCATTAATATGCATCTCCGGTGTCAAACACTACTCTCCAAAATGAGACCTAGCGACGATTTCAATCAATGGATCGTCCTTAAGAAGGTGGGTAACCTAATCTTTTCCCCTTGAAGTTGCATTTTCCTGGATAATTCAGCAGGGAAATTTCCTCGACAGCCGTTGAGTCCAACATCTGCACTGAAAAAAAATTCTCGGCGTTTTTACCAAGGTCCATTGGTGCCTTTACCATCTCACTTTTTTTTTTTACCAATTATTGGTAATTTTACAAAGACAGACTGGTAAGCTTACCTAAAAACCGATATTTTTACTGTTTTTTTCAGGTAAGAATACAACTTTTATTGGTAATCAATTCCCGGTAACTTTGCCATTTTATCTCGGTAATTCTACCACAGTCGATAAAAAATATTGGCGTTTTTACCGGGCGTTATGGCGTATGGCGTATTGGCGATAAGTCAATAATTTTACCGAGATTTCTCGGTAAAATTATCAATTCCATAAATGGTAATTTTACCGAGAAAAATCTGGGATCAAATAGAACCCTGAATTCTTAGTAATTTTACCCTTTTCTTAGTAAATACACCGAGACTTTTTTTTCAGTGTGGATGTATTAAATAATTATATGAATGTGCGAAGTATTTATTCGGCGGTACCTATGAACAGTACCCGTTATTAAGGGTGCAGAAAGTTCTTAGTCTACCCCAAATTGTAATTTGCCTTCCTCTAAAATTTGATGTTTTGCTATAATTGGACCGCCTTTAGCAGAAAGGAACCAAGCCACATCAGCAACTGGGTAATTCAATTTTTCACGAGAGAAAGTTTGTGCGGATTCCTTCGAAAAATTTTAAGGAATTAGCTCCGTATGACCTGGTTACACGCTCAAATTTCCGTCAAATTCCGATCAAAAAAATGACCAAGATGGCGGTCGAGAATTATCTAGATTGATGAGTAAAATTAATTAAAACAGCGTGTTGATTGGAATGAGCATGAAATAAGCACGGTTGTGTGGAAATCAGATGAAGGATGAGCCCCACAGCTCCATCATCTTCCATCAAATTTTTGCAGGCCGCAAAAATTTGATGGTAAATGGTGCGCACCAGTCACCATTTGATCGGAAATTGATGGAAATTTGAGCGTGTAACCATAGCAGTACACTTTGTAGAAAATTCACTGAAATTTGCACAAAAGGCCCAGTGACAAGAATCCCTCCACTGGCCTCTCGGCGACAGGTGGAAGCTTTTACTTTCGGGGTTCAACACTTTCTTATGAGCAATTATAAGGGAGCAACAGTCATCACTTTCTTTTCGGCGATTGACCTACCTACTTCGTCACCTTCCAGGCAAAGCTGTCCGAAAATTTCACTGAATTTTCTTTGTGCTGCCGATAAAATTTAGTGAAATTTCCAAACAGATTCAACCAACAATTTCTCAGTAAAGAAGTAAAATGGCGGCGGAAATTTTTAAACGTCGCATGGCGCTTGTGATACTTTGCCTGGAAGGTGACGACTTGTCGATGATGAGCTCCGGGTGACGTCATGAGCTTAGCAACTTTCTCAAACTTCGGCTTGTTTGCAAAATGAAACTGCCAACACGGTATTAACCACCGACCAAGTAGGTAGGTCAACAATTGAATGTTGAAGTGGCGAAAGTAAAAGCTTCCACCATTGCCAAGATACTAGTGGAGGGTCTCTTCTCTGAAAAATCCGCACAACCATTTTCATGTGAAAAATTAGATTGCCCAATTAAATTTGGCAATAGCTGATGTGGCTTGGTTCATTTCTGCCTAATGCGGTCCGGTCACTCCTCTACATAAAAAACTGCGTTTGAAAAGCGTCCAAAAACAATGCGCTCACAGTATTTTCCCCAAAATCAATCGAAATGAATAAAAACAAGAAATTTATTAAAAAGAAGTCATCCCAAATTTTCACAGCCCTCCCTATGTAATTCTCACGCGAGCGGCCATGCGATCTTGAAGGCGTGATCGAGAACATTCTTCACCCCTGACCGTCCTTCATATCTGTCATAACATCTTTCCATTCTTTTAAATTTGTGTAATTTTCTTCTAGCTCATAAAATATGAATATTTCCTAATAAAAAGCTATTATATACATTTTGAGGAAACTGATAGTAGCCGAGCGGAGCCATGCTAAACACGAAGTAATGTAGACACACTGTTTAGCTCAGCAGGAATGGAGCGTATCAAATTGCATACTTCTTGTGTATGAAGGCGTTTTTCATAACTGGCGAGTAAAGAATCCTCAGGAGCCGAGCAAAGATTACACAGCTATTGAAAAAAAATAAAAATATCACAGATGAAAAGATCATGAAGATTAAACTGCCTTGGACTCATTCTTCGTAATACCGTTGGATCTACTGGATCTGAGATATTGGCGAGGCGTGAATGATGAATTCGTCACCTTCCAGGCAAAGTATCACAAGCGCCATGCGACGTTTAAAAATTTCCGCCGCCATTTTATTTCTTTACCGAGAAATTGTTGGTTGAATCTGTTTGGAAATTTCACTACATTTTAGTGGCAGCACAAAGGAAATTCAGTGAAATTTTCGGACAGCTTCGTTGAACAATTTCTCTGTAAAAAAATTAAATGGCGGCGGAAATTTTTAAACATCGCATGGCGCTTGTGATACTTTGCCTGTAAGGTGACGAACTATCGATATTTCCCCATTTGGAGCTATGGTGAAGAATCGATTATTAAGGTGTTCGTTGTGAACAAAACACCCTATTTATCGATCCTTTTCCATACTATAAAGAGCAGATCAATCCATACATCGCAAAACACGATACGCTACTGATCAGCCCGAGTCTTTTCATACTTTCATACTTTCCTGCCCCCTCTCACTTTTTCGTGTCATTTTTATCCTAATATCAATTCGTAAATTCATCGATTTTTGATACCTTCTCTTCCGTGCTAAAGAAAAACGCCGAATGAGCATTCGAATGTTGCCAAGTTGCCTCTCAGAAAATATTTATTTCTGAAGACTGTCATGCATATTTCTCCTTCAAATTTCCAAAAAATTTAGATCAAACCACGAACAAAATGCTTCCAAAAGCTGAATGAAAAAAATAAATAAATATTCCCAAAAATACGATATTTTTCGAAGGAGATTTGGCAACGTATGAAGGTTCATACGACGTTCTACCTTAGTATACCTTGCCGTCTTACCACGGCAGCACTGGCGTCATTCCAAGTCGCCAAAACAATTATACGGTATTCTCCTTTTTTCAGGTTTACTACAAAGCTTACGACTTTTTCCCGCGCAATCTGCAGTTTATGATGAAAGAATTGAAGTTGCCCTATCAGGGTAAAGTAGAGAACGCCTATGGTATTGATATTTTGAAGTTAATACTGATTCCTACATTGTTTCCTGAACTTTTTCGCACTAGCCTGGTCATTGCTAATTTTTCGAAAATGATCCCTACATGGATATCGTTTACGATGCATCAGCATATTATACATATATATTAAGTTCGTAAGAAAGTGAGTGACCTTTGTGCTGCACAAGGAGATTCCCACCAGTGGTGAAGCGTGAATGATCGATTATTATCGATATTTCCCCATTGAAACTATGATAAACAATCGATTATTAAGATGTTCGTTGCGAACACCCTGTTCATCGATACTTTTCCATAGGTTTAAATGACCGATTAGTCGATATATCGCAAACTAAACCACGCCACTGATTCCCACACCTTTGAGAGAAATTTTGAGAGGGTGTAAGTCTTTCTTCTTCTTCATTCGACCGATGTTGGTATTTCTTAGGAACTATCCCCCCTTCCCTCCCTCCCCACCATTCTGAAAAAGTCATCGTCTTTAATCCGGTTAAGGCCAAACATTACCATGTCCACAATGGAGAATTTGCAGGTGTCTGAAATTTTGTGAATTTCATCTTTAAAATGAAACTGCTGGGAAAACTGAGTACGAGTATATCCTCGCTTTCTAAATTAAACAATTATTGGAGAAAATATGACCAAGTAACCTATTCTGCTAAAATACATGTGTTTAAATGGAAAATGCCGCCAGATGACATCGCAAGACGGCACATTTTCTCATTTTTAAATCTATTTTTCTCCAATTTCCCATGTCAGAGGAAAATTATGAAAAATACTGCAAATTCAGCTCGTTGGGCTCCCTCAGATGAAGCAATAAAATTTGTGTGTGCAAATTCTCCATTAGTTACGCGTGTCGGAAAATTGAGTTTCGTGGCTTAACATCACAGATGAACAATAAAATGAGAAGTCCATCAGAACGGAATTTTCTTAAATTCCAAGTGATTCACGGGCAATTTTACCCTCTGCAAAACGCTATGACTGACGTCATCCGTTGAATTTTTCACGCGGTAGTTTCATTCGACTTGATTTGAAAATACTGGTCGCCTCACGAGCGCATTAATCTGATCAAAGAGGCAAAAACGGACGGCGCACGGTGGATCAAGTTAGTGAGAGAGGTCGGACAAAATTTAGAAACTTTAAAAGCTTATAACTCCGTTTATACACATCTTTGAGGTTCAAAAAGTGGTTTCATTGGTTTCCTTGTGAAATTTTCTTTTAGAATCACCCCTTATAATTTAAAATGTGGCGAAATCAACATCAAAATTTGCAGGTTTAGTCAAAAATTTTATGTCCGACCTCTCCAATTGACTCGATCCACTGTGCGGCGTTAAGGACAAGAAACCCACTACCCAGCCCCATCAATTACTGCGAAATTCAACTGAGCTATTCATTTTTTACTTAAAAAAGGTTGTACGGATTTTTGCGCTTTCAGGGAATTTTCTGCCTAGTGCGAAGCAAATTCCGTAACGCGTTTTCAAAGAGCTTTACACAAATGTTCTCTTGTAAAAATTAAATTGCCTGGTTAAATTTTTTAATAGCTGATGTGGCTTGGTCCCTTTCTGTGGTACGCGGTCCAAATCATAGTGTGCCTGCACTGATGCGGCTGATGACGTCATTTGTCGTGTCTTTAGAAAAGCGCAATCTATCCTAAAGACGTAAAAACTTGATGACACTTCGTATTGCTGTTTGTTTTCTTATTACGTATTCTCTACTGCCGTGCTAAATAGAACGTCGTATGAGCCTTCAGATGTTGCCGAATTTCATTTGATAAAATACGGAATTTTAGAGAAATCTGTGAATATTTTCCCTCCCATTTTTTAGAGGATTTTATTCGCTATCAAATCTATTCAAGAGAAAATATTCATGGCTCCCTTTAAAAATAAATAATTTATTTGAAGAGATTTTGCAACTTTCAAATGATCATACGGCGTTTTTCCTCAGCACGGCAGTAACTTCGCAGTGCCTCGCAGTCAAGGCACGATCCTGAGACATAGGTGACTGGCGCATGGTTTTTTTTCTGTTTCCAGATGACGTCACCAATGCGGCATTGGTGACTCAAAGAATGCTGAGGGAAAATATCAAATTCGAAATCAATAATCACGTAAAGATAGACCTCGGACCTTGGCCTGCCGTGAGACCAGATCGAAAACCATACATTCCCCCGGGAACACTGCCACCGGGTTCATAATGATTGTGAATTTCGACTAGAATTAGTGAAGTGGATAAATTGCGGAAAATTACGGAGCGTTTTTTTCCTCCGTCCTTTTCTCTTTCTTCTTCATTTTTTCAGATGTCTTAACTGGAATCTGCTGGTTGGCTTAAAAACCTAAATTAACTACACCAAATCCAGTCAAACATTTACTATTGAAATGTTTTTAGAAGATTTTAGAAACCGATTAAAAAAAGGAAACAAATCTTACTGAGAATATCCGTAGAAAACACTCATTTACGGCAGGAGATAAACTTTCAGCATCTCCGATCTCCTCCAACATTGTGCGACCGTAATTGGTGGGGCCGCGCTAACATGCGTGTGGTCTTCTTCTTGCTTTGAAGGGGTTCGCGAGTTCGTCATTGTTGCGGACCGATGAAAGGCGAAGTGATCCTACACGTGAAAGAATTTTGAATTGAAATGAATGGATTTAGTCTCCTTTTATTATATCTTTTGACAATAACAGAACAGAAATGATTACAAAAGCAAAATGAAATAGAGAACAGGGCACCCACTGAGACTGAGCCGTATGCCAGGCTGAGGCCTACAATTAAAGGCTATTACAATCTAACACAAGGAATTAAACATATTAAATTAAAATGAGACTAGATAGAAAGGAGGAGGTGGAAACATTAAATTGGACCTAACCATGTATCATTGCGTATGGGTGAGTTTACACTGCATAAGATAAGTGAATTGATACCAAATCAGGATTCAATTCAAAGGGAGGTATAATGCAGGGGGGTGGCGGGGGGGAGCGGGGGGAGCGTGAATGTTTCGCAATTGTCTTTCATCCTCATTCCAATCGTCTTCGGAGGACTGATCAACTGTCACTACCACGCTTGCGAGAGTTTCGTACTGGGCCAGCTCGGAGACGAAAGCCACAGCCAAGAACAAGAAGAGCACGCTCGGAAACTTCATGGTAGATGACGTAGTCACTTCAACTGCAGCAACGAGGAACTTTCAGAGATCACTTGCAACTTAGTAGCAGACTGATGTCCTTACATATGATGACAGCGTTTTTAAACTCGAGCAAGGATGTGATAACTCGTTTTATCTACTAACCTAAAATCAGGCGGCTGCGACGTACTCGTGCGTCAATTTTTTCCCGTTGGAAACCTTATCGCCTTTAAAATTCAGCTTAGAAATATAATTTTGAGTAATTTTTCGAGGAATTCAGTGGACGTGTTTCTAGCTGTAATTTTATCACCTTTGGCTTTAATTCTATAACAATTTTGTTTCTCTGGATATTCCTGAAGAGATTGATAGATACAGGCCCGGACTGACCATGGGACTACCGGAACTCTCCCCGCTGGGCCGGTCTGACACAAGTCCGATAGGAGAAATAGAGAGGAGTTTAGAGGCAAAATATCTGAAAATTTAATTTTTGGACAGAAAACATCGTTAACAATTGGAAGCATTTCTGCCAAACCAAAGACAGCTGGGATACAAGGTGTATACTCGTTAGTTGAGGGCCGTAAGAATGAATGGGAATTATAAAGCGTCATCGACGTCATCGGCGACGAAGCCGCCGCCGCTCAGTGGATCGAGTCAATAAGAGAGGTCGGACATGAAATTTTCGACTAAAACTGCAAATTTTGTTGTATATCTCGTCACATTTTAAACTTTCAGGGGTGCTTTCAGAGGAAAATTTTACGAGGAAACCAATGGAACCACTTTTAGAGCCACGAAGTTTTGTATAAACGGAGTTATAAGCTTTTAAAGCTTCCAGATTTTGACTGACCTCTCCTCTCCTATTGATTCGCTCCATTGAGCGCCGCGACTCCCAGTGGTCAGTAATAATTGGACTACATTTTGCAATGCGGAACTATAATTTCTGGCTTATCGGTAAAAACACGTACGTGCATAAGGAAACTGATGGTACATGCGTTGTTTCTAAGCTGAGCCAGAAATTATAGTTCCGAATTGCAAAATGTGGTCCAATTCATGAGCCTTGTCAACAACACTCTTGTCACATGTCCATGGCTCACGAGTGCCGCATTCAATTGGACGTATTTCTACGAAACAGACCTATGTGGAGGTGAGAAATATGGGGTGTGCTTGTTAGTTCTCTGGCCGCAAGAGTGAATGAGAATAATAAAGCGCCAGTGACGTCAGCGGCAATGAGGGAGCGCCCGCGAAACGGGGAGATTGTCGTCGGGGCACTTTAACTCATGAGCCCTGTGCACAAGGCTCTCTTGCCATGCCCGCGGCTCATGAGTCCCGCATTCAGATGGCACATAGGTCTGTTTGATAGAATGCAATATCCCGCTTTTCCAATTCTTCAGAAGGAACCACGCCCTCTTTTACATTGCTTCTTATGCAGCTTCGACGAGCACACCCCATATTTCTCACCTCCACATAGGTCTGTTTGATAGAAATACGTCCAATTGGCGCTTAGTTCCATTTGGATATATTCATGCTAAAAGGAACTATGTGGTTAAGGTTTGTGTGCAACATAGTTCAGTTCTCATTGGCATACATACGTTCATTTTATTTAATGTAAAATCCTGCTTTTCCATTTCTACAAAGTCTACTTTTTAGGCACTAAAAAGTCAGTTTGAATTTTCTTTCCGCCATAAGGCTCCATGTGATTTCGAAACGTCAAACACGCATTTCTCGAAACAGCAAAAACTGCACTTATGCGCGTTGTCCTCCGAGCCCCTCATTTCGGCTCTTGTTCTTTCCTTGTGCCTGCCTCTATCGTAGTCCCCCCCCCCCCCNCGTACAAGCTAGCCAAAAATGAACTTAAAATAACCAAAATGACATCGAGGCAGAAGTATTCGAAGAGACTCGCATCAGCAGAAGACGGCCTTAAATGAGATGCTCCACCGTGCCGAGCAACGTGTTCTACCCAGAAAACAGCCTTGTCCATTGCTTGAGCTGTGAAATCATGTGATTTTGTGGAGAGCTCTCGCATGTTCCTCGAGTAGCTGGGAAAAAATCATTTAATTAAAATACTACTCTTTTCGTCAATAGTTTTGTGATATCTAGGAAGGATTAGGTTTTGCTACTGTATCAATGACACTATTGAGCCATGACACCCAATGAATGACGTAACCCACCACCCTGGTAAAAATTGGCAGTAGAATCTGTGTTCCAAATTATCCAATGAAACTTGGCAATAACTGACGTGGCTTGGTTCGTTTCTGCTTAACGCGGTCCATTTACCAGACAATTCAACTTTCGTGAAGATTAAAATTGATATCATTATGAGTTATAAGAAGAAAAAAGGGAAAACGATCAACAAAAAAAGATTTTTTTTTTTTTTTAAATAAGTAAAAATTTAACAGATCCCTGGTAAAAATTGGCCGTAGAATCTGTGTTCCAAAATACCATAGACCTACAGCCGGCTGTAAGATTTCCAATGGCTTCTATAGCCGGCTACACAATTTCTTATAGCCTCTTATAGCCGATGGCGACTAAGCAACAGCCAGGCGATAAAGTTTATACTAAACGTTACTAAATACAGGACTTAGTTAGTTTTTGGACTACCTCTCCCTTTTTGTGTCATAGTGTCTTGATTTATTTTGCGAGGAAAGCTCCGTACTTTTGAAGGATGCCTGTCATTCTTAATATATTAGAGCGCCTTCAGTTTCGTATGATAAGTACTGTGCAATACCTCTGGTGTGAAATCCTCCGTGGCACGCTGCTGTGCGCGGCAGGCGGGCAGCCAGCGCGAAACGCGCACTGGCGCCTACAAACCTAACAGGGATACTTCACGCGTTGCGCAAAGCGTGAAGTATCCCTGTTAGGTTTGTAGGCGTCAGCGCGTCGCCGCTCCGCTTTATGTTGGGCTCTAATATTTAATCTGGCGGAGTCAGCGTTATTCAACTCATGATTTTGAAATGTTTGCACATCCTGTATGGATTATTCTAATTTTAATTGATGAAAAAAATATGTATTAAAGGAAAATATAATGTGTGTTTTGTCAATATTAAGGTGATTCCGTATCAAAGTTAATGATTTCCAAAGCACACGAATTTCTACACAATTTCTTATAGCCTTTTATAATCGATGGCGAAAAAGCAACAGCCAGGCGATAAAGTGTAAAGCCCGGCGATAGGAACTATAGCCCGGCTGCATAATTTTTTATCGCTTCGTATAGCCCGGCCGTATGATTTTCTCCGCATTCAACAGCCAGCTATATGATTTTCTGTAGCCTTCTTTAGTCGGCTTTAAGAATTCCAATGGTATTTTGAAACGCAGCTCTTATCGCCAATTTTTACCAGGGCAAATCGTCATGAGATAGGAATTGGTTGTCACATTGTATTTATGTCTCCCTTTGTCACATTGTATATATTTCTTCCCATAGCCCCCTATCCTGGGGACAATATTGTATCAGAATAATCTTAGGTTTAGGTCTTAATTACGTCTTATTGGTAGTCTTAGGTCTAGGATTAATCTTATTGTATGGAATCGTTCGCTAAAAAGTGACAATTGCTAAGAAGAATGATACCTCGTTCCTTTAAAACTCAAAATTTACATTTTTTACCAGATCATGGAAGAATCTGATATGAAAAATTTGAACATAGCCATAAAATGCCATAAAAATTTCATAAATGTCATAACAAGTGACGAACCAAGGTCCATGCATGCGGGTGAAAAAGTTGGCACCTATCTGGCACTTGTGATGAATAAGGTAGGTATGTACCTACTTGTTCATAACTGGATGTACCTATCCATGCTAAATAAAGCTATATCACACGCAAGTGCAAGTAGATAGTAGAGACTCCTTAAATTTTCAGGTATATCCTGCATGAAGAAGAGAATAGCACTATCTCAACAGTTTTGCGATGTTTTATAGTTCCGTGTTGCAAAATGGGGGTCATTTATGCGTCTTTCCTACCTCCTTCACTCCCAATTCGACTTGACAATAACATAATTGCATCGATGGCCAAAATACTAAAGCACATATCTTCATCAGGATGTTTCAAAATTTCCGCTCCTATTTCATTCACACAGAAACAAGCCAGCTTCATAGCTTGAAGTGTATACCGGATCTGTTAATGGAGAAGAAAAATCAATGGATTTTCAAGAAATTACGTTGGCTAGTTTCCCAAAGAGATAATAAAATGTAGCGGGAAGAATGCAACGTCACAAACGGAGATACGTGGTTCCGCGCTTTGGCCATCGACATGCTCTTTTTTCCACAAAATCGTTTTGGACAGTTTCTCAGGGGTTGGCATTGCACTTCACGTACCCTTCCTTTCGATT